TTTTGCGTCAGCCATGAATTGACTTATTTGTCTCAATCAAAACTTCGAAAGATTAATGCAAAATCTAACTGAATGTAAATAAACCAAGCAAAATGTGCAGACTATTTGACTTAGCCAAAATTTATTTTTTTTATTGAAGTTCGTTTGAGATTACTTATCACATAAATTTTATATTTAACATTTACTTTTTTATAAATTAAGTAATTCTTGTTTTTTTTTCTACAAAATTATTGTACATTTCGTGTGAATAAAAAAAAGATTGAAGAGCTTCTTCTGCATTGTTTGCTTCGAAACTTTCAACTCACAAAACAAAGTCCTTATAAATAAAACAAACAACGCAAAAACCAATTATCTTTTGAAAAAAAACTTTAACCTCCTTTTTAAGCTGAAACATCAAAAATTCCAATTCTCTATTATGAACTATTTTTAACTTCTGCTAGATCTAAAATGCGAGTGATATTTACTTATTTTACTGGAGAACTACTTGAAAAGAAAACTAGTCCATTCTTTTGGAAACCATATTTTGTAGCTACTTCTTTTTTATTCGGCGTTTTTGTTCAGATAAAACCGTAACGGGTCGGGAAATAACTCTGGTTCAAGGTTGCTTGTTTTTTCTTCAGCCCGAAGCTAGTATCTCACAAAAAGCTCGGAGGGGTTCAAGTATGGCCATACTTAAGCTCTTTTGGCCACGATTCGAATTCAAAACAAACTTAAAAATTGTTTTGAGAAAAAGAAACTTTTCGGTTTTCAGACTAAATTAAACCACACTTTCAGTCTTCAAGTTTGTACTTCAGAATTTTTTAAATTAGAAGCTGGCCTCCGATTTTTTTTACAACTATTTATTACTAGAAAAATATCAAAAAAATGTTTGAAAAAGGTTTCAAAAAAGCTTGAGGTTTTTCTGAAACTTTATGAGAACAATGCCTATTTGATTCTCTTCTTCAATCTTTGTGTCAAAACATTGTTCATAGAAAAAAATGTTGAATTTGATACAGTTACATTTGTTATCTGCGACTTTTGTATTACAAACAACATCTTGCTGATAAATCTTTAATCAGGGTTATCTTATACGACTTTTGATTAAAATTGTTGTATACGACAAGCGGATAGATCTAAAACTTATGCGAAGAAGTCCAGATCAACAGACGAGATAACTAATTAAAAGATGCAACTGTTTCCAACAAACAGATATGATTTTTCGGTTATCAGACAAATGTTTTGCAATTTTTAGAGATAATGGACGAAAACAAAATTTAAATGATCAAGCTAAGAATATATTTTCATTTTTATTTGTTGTTTTTGGCAATTTGTTTCCTTCTAATATTTTTAGCAGTTTAATATTGAAGTTTTATTAATATTTATTGCCACTTTAAAGCTGAACTTCAGAGTTGGAAATTTGCTATTTGAAACATTTCACTCAATTTTTTGTTTTATTGATCACGCCGACCGGCGCGAAGTGATTGATGATGAACCTTTTTTCTGACGAAGAAGAAAATAATTGAATAAGGTATAAATTTTCAAAATCTTTTCGCTTTGTTTTGTGTGTAGCCGCTCAACTTCTCATAAACGGCCAAAATTGACCAACCGTTTAATAGAATAGCAGGAATGAAATGAAAACAACGGTGACGACTGGTTTCTTATAAGAAGTCTTTCTAGAAAAACAAGCGACCCTTTGCATGGTAAAAGGGTACAATTCGCCATAAGATACTGTTCCCTATCTTTTTCATACGCTATAGATACACTGCTGATTTTAAAAAAATCGGAAAAATGAACAAACCTTGAAAAAAATGCTTTTTTTTCAAATTGGGTCGATTTTAGACAAAAAAAATAAAATAAAAAACGTTGCTCAGAGTGTCACCTGAAATTAAACGATTCAATTTCGTTTGCATAATTCGAGCCAAAAAATAACCTAAGCTAGATCACTTTCAGATTTTTTTAGTCAATGAAAAATTACGCCAGAACTGACGGATAAATTGGCACCAAAATATAATCAAAGTGACCCTTTGGTGTAGCCCATAAACTGAAGAATGGGCTCTAATGAGCTTTTAGTGTAGCCCATGAGTTAGCCTCTAAAATTTAAGAATCTTCTAACTTTTGTATAAATAAATTTGCTTTAGTTTACTAGTCAAAAAGTGTCATTTTCAATGTATAAAATACCAATTTTTAGTGAAAAATCAGTTTTTTAAGTCATGCGCCAATTTTTGGAGAATAAACTCTCCTTAAATTGTGTTGTGCTGCACATTAGGTTTAGTTTCAAAAAATTATGTGAGAAAGTGATTCGGTAATTGTGGCGTAATTTTTCATTAACTGAAAAACATCACAAATGGTCGGTATTAATATAGATGTTTTGGCCCAATTTTTGCAAATTAAATTGCACAAAAGTAGTACTGCTAAAGTTTTTTTTCGAGTTCTGTCTTCAAAATTTTTCTCCCAAGTCTCCCAATTTGAGAATACAGCGCGTTTTAACTTTAGCTTTTTGTTTTTTTCCGGATAATTCAAATCAGTACTGTGTTCTACCGGTTGAGGCAAAAAAATTCAGTCACTTTCTTTTTAATTTTTGCTTTAAATCTCATAGAATTTTTGTCCATTTGTATTTAAATTTAGCAAAAACGTTTCTTAGAAATACCCGCAAATACCGAGAAAGAAAAGATATGCAAGCAATATTACCTCTCGATCCTCTCAGACGCAACGGCAATATTTGAGTTCGCATTTTTAAGTTCTGATTTTAGATATGCTTTAAAGTTTTTTCAGTACTGTAAAAAATGCATATTTTGAAATTCGGCAAAGTTTGTTAGTGTTAAACATGGAAATACAATTATTTTTTAAAAACAACAAAAAACACTGGGAAAACGAACTCGTATCAAAAATTTTTATTCAAGAGTGATGCTTCGTGCTTGCTATTAATTGTCCATTTTATTGCAAGTAAAATTTAGGTTGTGCCATTCAAGTGACAATTGATTTTTCACATTCCAATTACCCGGGTCGAGGTGCTCAACTTATGATTTGACGAAAATTTGCAGTCGAAAAGCAATTGTAAGTCGCACAGAACGTGGAAACATACTCGATTTTGATCGAGAGAGTCGAGACACACCCAATTTTGGCGGAGAAACTCCAAATATATTCAGTTCGGGAGGTCTGCTCAACGCAAAATAAAAAGTTTTAGAGGAAACCTTTTAAGTTTTGAAAACCTAAGGATTCCTGCCGCAAAAAAAAATGAATTCTAACGAAACACCATCAAATATCAATTTTTACTTCAACAGTCTGAGTCAAAGTTGGGAGATTGAAAGTAGAGATTGAAGACAATAGTTTTCGTGTAAGAATTTTGCATTTTACAGGCTCGTGTAGTTTATTTTAAAATCAATTATCATCGCAAAAAATTAACTAAGAAGCATATATCATACTTTGTTGTCAGTTTACTCATGTAATTTGATGGTAGAAAAAGTCGTAACATATATCGAGCAGAGTCAAAACATACCCATTTTTGGTCGCGAAATTTCATACATAGGTCGAGCAAAATTGAAACCTAGGTCAAAACGTGTTCGAACATAGGTCGAGCACAGTCGAAACATAACCAATTTTGATCAAAAAAGTCAAAACATAGGTCGAGCACAGTCGAAACATATGTAGATCAGATTTTTTTTTATTTTGATACCTTTTCCACAAATCGAGTGTACCAAAGAATTATCAAAAAAAAAGTTCGAAAGGCGCAATAGAAACTGTCTCACTATCTAAGCTATTTGACTGATATTGAAAACTATGAAATGCTAGATCAAAAAGTTTAAACTTTCGGGTCCAAAATTTTAAATAAAATTTGAAACCAGATGTGTTTTCACTGAGAAACCAAAAAGCCTTTTGAACAATTTTTGGAGCAACCACAGACGACAATAAAGCGAGAAAATTTTTTTGTTTACCGAGACAGTCGAAATATACCCACTTTTGGTCGAGAAAGTCGAAACAATTTTATGCTGGGTCGAACAAATATTTTTTTAGATGTCGGCCGACACAGTCGAGAAAGCTGAAACATACCAAAATTTGGTCGGGACGGTCGAAACATACCGATTTTTGGTCGAAAAGTCGAAACAAATCGAGCGCCTCAACCGGGTAACTGTCATTTAAATTTCTGTTGTCCAATTAAATTTTGACCTGCTCTGCGTACATGCCGGTCGCATACAACTGACTTTATATGCAGCTGCCTCTCTTGAGAAAACTGCATGAATTGCCCAAAATGGCAGAGAGCATCTTAATTTTAACTCGAGAGACTCGAGGCTGAAATTATGCCGGTTGTTTTTATCATTTTTTCTAACTGTGTTTACTAAGCAAAGAAAGACTTTTCGTTAAATCAGGCGGCGTTTGGGACATTCAGGAGAAAATTAAAAGTAGCATGGTTTTCAAGCAAGGCGACGGTAGCCTAATTGAATTTACAATCCATTTTTTAATTAGTTTCAGATTTATCTTAGTTTCGCATTTCCCTTGAGACACTTCGCAGTTGCAAAAAAACAAATCTTGAAAGATTATTTGAAATTCTAGTCTTAATTAGCTACAAATCAACTTCATTTATCCCAAGTATGCAAAATCTGCGTCCCTTTTGTATTGTCTTTGCAAAAAATATATATGACCTCATTCAGAACTAATTTGTGAATGCGCCTTATTAGCAAAAGAAGATGCTAAAAATAGACGGAGTCTCATTTCTCGAATGAATAGGAAAATAAAATCAAAGTGGAGGATAAAAAGGAAGTTGAAGTCTTGATTTCAGATTAAGAAACGAAGGGTGCTGCTTCATTTAATTACAATCAATTCAAATAAACTTTCACGACATTTTATTTTCTAGCTAATCAGTCCTATTCAATTCTTCCAATACGACGAGAAATATAAATTATACTATTATAATCATCGGAAGCACTCAATTACCGTAAAAAAAAGAGATTACAATTGAAGTATAAATAGATTACAATTGACGTAGATAAAGAGAAATATTTTCTCTACTTGGACAAAATTCTTACCATATTGGGCTGTGACAGTCTAGAAGCGCGTGAAAAGTTGTCATCAATTAAATGATTTGATCTTTTCAAGGTTGATTTGACGAAGTCAATGGCTGAAACAGAAAAATTAACTCTTTTAGTCAGGTCTATAACAAGACGGAAAAAAATGTCATACAGTCTATTGACCTTTTACAATCAAATGCACTCTATTCAAATGACTTTTTTCCCAACTAAAATTTTCCAGAAGTCAAAATTTTCCAAAAAGTGCTTAAAAACGTTTTTTTTTGCCTGTTTTTTTCAAAGTTTTGCTGCGACGCAGAAAATTTGGTCAAAATATGGTCATTATATTGATCTAAGAAAGCTCAAAAAATCAATTTTGGTCTATCTAAAATTAAGAAAAAAAGGTCGACAAAAAATCTTGAAAATCCCCCCTCGAGAAAACCCCTGCAATAAATATTGAAATTCAAATCTATTTGTTTTCTTAAGTTAATTATAGTTTATTTTACCCAATACTTTGATTTCAAGATAATATTGGTTGGCATTGATTTCAAAACATAAGCTTGGTTGAATAGAATTAAAGATGCAAAGTTTAAAAAAAAATGGAAGCATAGAAAATATGGAAGATAAACAAGACTGCTCGTATATCAAGGCAAAGCCTTGAACATTCCGACTGTCCCTTAATTCATATTGAATAGTTTTTGGGAAAAGAAAATATTGAAAACCTATAAATCTTGGGCAATATCAAAGTGTGAAATTTTTGAGTCGCACGACCGATTAGCTAGCATCAATTCAATTTGGAACGAGTTTGTTATGCAGAATAATTGGTCACGCATAAATGTTTCGCGTTACGCTCTCAGCATTATAAACAAATTTTTCAAAGCGCGCATAATTTAGTCCAGAACATAAGCAAAATCTCTTTTGATTGAATTACTTGTACTAAGTTATACAGTTTTTTTTTTGCGTCAGCCATGAATTGACTTATTTGTCTCAATCAAAACTTCGAAAGATTAATGCAAAATCTAACTGAATGTAAATAAACCAAGCAAAATGTGCAGACTATTTGACTTAGCCAAAATTTATTTTTTTTATTGAAGTTCGTTTGAGATTACTTATCACATAAATTTTATATTTAACATTTACTTTTTTATAAATTAAGTAATTCTTGTTTTTTTTTCTACAAATTTATTGTACATTTCGTGTGAATAAAAAAAAGATTGAGGAGCTTCTTCTGCATTGTTTGCTTTGAAACTTTCAACTCACAAAACAAAGTCCTTATAAATAAAACAAACAACGCAAAAACCAATTATCTTTTGAAAAAAAACTTTAACCTCCTTTTTCAGCTGAAACATCAAAAATTCCAATTCTCTATTATGAACTATTTTTAACTTCTGCTAGATCTAAAATGCGAGTGATATTTACTTATTTTACTGGAGAACTACTTGAAAAGAAAACTAGTCCATTCTTTTGGAAACCATATTTTGTAGCTACTTCTTTTTTATTCGGCGTTTTTGTTCAGATAAAACCGTAACGGGTCGGGAAATAACTCTGGTTCAAGGTTGCTTGTTTTTTCTTCAGCCCGAAGCTAGTATCTCACAAAAAGCTCGGAGGGGTTCAAGTATGGCCATACTTAAGCTCTTTTGGCCACGATTCGAATTCAAAACAAACTTAAAAATTGTTTTGAGAAAAAGAAACTTTTCGGTTTTCAGACTAAATTAAACCACACTTTCAGTCTTCACGTTTGTACTTCAGAATTTTTTAAATTAGAAGCTGGCCTCTGATTTTTTTTTACAACTATTTATTACTAGAAAAATATCAAAAAAATGTTTGAAAAAGGTTTCAAAAAAGCTTGAGGTTTTTCTGAAACTTTATGAGAACAATGCCTATTTGATTCTCTTCTTCAATCTTTGTGTCAAAACATTGTTCATAGAAAAAAATGTTGAATTTGATACAGTTACATTTGTTATCTGCGACTTTTGTATTACAAACAACATCTTGCTGATAAATCTTTAATCAGGGTTATCTTATACGACTTTTGATTAAAATTGTTGTATACGACAAGCGGATAGATCTAAAACTTATGCGAAGAAGTCCAGATCAACAGACGAGATAACTAATTAAAAGATGCAACTGTTTCCAACAAACAGATATGATTTTTCGGTTATCAGACAAATGTTTTGCAATTTTTAGAGATAATGGACGAAAACAAAATTTAAATGATCAAGCTAAGAATATATTTTCATTTTTATTTGTTGTTTTTGGCAATTTGTTTCCTTCTAATATTTTTAGCAGTTTAATATTGAAGTTTTATTAATATTTATTGCCACTTTAAAGCTGAACTTCAGAGTTGGAAATTTGCTATTTGAAACATTTCACTCAATTTTTTGTTTTATTGATCACGCCGACCGGCGCGAAGTGATTGATGATGAACCTTTTTTCTGACGAAGAAGAAAATAATTGAATAAGGTATAAATTTTCAAAATCTTTTCGCTTTGTTTTGTGTGTAGCCGCTCAACTTCTCATAAACGGCCAAAATTGACCAACCGTTTAATAGAATAGCAGGAATGAAATGAAAACAACGGTGACGACTGGTTTTTTATAAGAAGTCTTTCTAGAAAAACAAGCGACCCTTTGCATGGTAAAAGGGTACAATTCGCCATAAGATACTGTTCCCTATCTTTTTCATACGCTATAGATACACTGCTGATTTTAAAAAAATCGGAAAAATGAACAAACCTTGAAAAAAATGCTTTTTTTTCAAATTGGGTCGATTTTAGACAAAAAAAAATAAAATAAAAAACGTTGCTCAGAGTGTCACCTGAAATTAAACGATTCAATTTCGTTTGCATAATTCGAGCCAAAAAATAACCTAAGCTAGATCACTTTCAGATTTTTTTAGTCAATGAAAAATTACGCCAGAACTGACGGATAAATTGGCACCAAAATATAATCAAAGTGACCCTTTGGTGTAGCCCATAAACTGAAGAATGGGCTCTAATGAGCATTTAGTGTAGCCCATGAGTTAGCCTCTAAAATTTAAGAATCTTCTAACTTTTGTATAAATAAATTTGCTTTAGTTTACTAGTCAAAAAGTGTCATTTTCAATGTATAAAATACCAATTTTTAGTGAAAAATCAGTTTTTTAAGTCATGCGCCAATTTTTGGAGAATAAACTCTCCTTAAATTGTGTTGTGCTGCACATTAGGTTTAGTTTCAAAAAATTATGTGAGAAAGTGATTCGGTAATTGTGGCGTAATTTTTCATTAACTGAAAAACATCACAAATGGTCGGTATTAATATAGATGTTTTGGCCCAATTTTTGCAAATTAAATTGCACAAAAGTAGTACTGCTAAAGTTTTTTTTCGAGTTCTGTCTTCAACATTTTTCTCCCAAGTCTCCCAATTTGAGAATACAGCGCGTTTTAACTTTAGCTTTTTGTACTGTGTTCTACCGGTTGAGGCAAAAAAATTCAGTCACTTTCTTTTTAATTTTTGCTTTAAATCTCATAGAATTTTTGTCCATTTGTATTTAAATTTAGCAAAAACGTTTCTTAGAAATACCCGCAAATACCGAGAAAGAAAAGATATGCAAGCAATATTACCTCTCGATCCTCTCAGACGCAACGGCAATATTTGAGTTCGCATTTTTAAGTTCTGATTTTAGATATGCTTTAAAGTTTTTTCAGTACTGTAAAAAATGCATATTTTGAAATTCGGCAAAGTTTGTTAGTGTTAAACATGGAAATACAATTATTTTTTAAAAACAACAAAAAACACTGGGAAAACGAACTCGTATCAAAAATTTTTATTCAAGAGTGATGCTTCGTGCTTGCTATTAATTGTCCATTTTATTGCAAGTAAAATTTAGGTTGTGCCATTCAAGTGACAATTGATTTTTCACATTCCAATTACCCGGGTCGAGGTGCTCAACTTATGATTTGACGAAAATTTGCAGTCGAAAAGCAATTGTAAGTCGCACAGAACGTGGAAACATACTCGATTTTGATCGAGAGAGTCGAGACACACCCAATTTTGGCGGAGAAACTCCAAATATATTCAGTTCGGGAGGTCTGCTCAACGCAAAATAAAAAGTTTTAGAGGAAACCTTTTAAGTTTTGAAAACCTAAGGATTCCTGCCGCAAAAAAAATGAATTCTAACGAAACACCATCAAATATCAATTTTTACTTCAACAGTCTGAGTCAAAGTTGGGAGATTGAAAGTAGAGATTGAAGACAATAGTTTTCGTGGAAGAATTTTGCATTTTACAGGCTCGTGTAGTTTATTTTAAAATCAATTATCATCGCAAAAAATTAACTAAGAAGCATATATCATACTTTGTTGTCAGTTTACTCATGTAATTTGATGGTAGAAAAAGTCGTAACATATATCGAGCAGAGTCAAAACATACCCATTTTTGGTCGCGAAATTTCATACATAGGTCGAGCAAAATTGAAACCTAGGTCAAAACGTGTTCGAACATAGGTCGAGCACAGTCGAAACATAACCAATTTTGATCAAAAAAGTCAAAACATAGGTCGAGCACAGTCGAAACATATGTAGATCAGATTTTTTTTTATTTTGATACCTTTTCCACAAATCGAGTGTACCAAAGAATTATCAAAAAAAAAATTCGAAAGGCGCAATAGAAACTGTCTCACTATCTAAGCTATTTGACTGATATTGAAAACTATGAAATGCTAGATCAAAAAGTTTAAACTTTCGGGTCCAAAATTTTAAATAAAATTTGAAACCAGATGTGTTTTCACTGAGAAACCAAAAAGCCTTTTGAACAATTTTTGGAGCAACCACAGACGACAATAAAGCGAGAAAATTTTTTTGTTTACCGAGACAGTCGAAATATACCCACTTTTGGTCGAGAAAGTCGAAACAATTTTATGCTGGGTCGAACAAATATTTTTTTAGATGTCGGCCGACACAGTCGAGAAAGCTGAAACATACCAAAATTTGGTCGGGACGGTCGAAACATACCGATTTTTGGTCGAAAAGTCGAAACAAATCGAGCGCCTCAACCGGGTAACTGTCATTTAAATTTCTGTTGTCCAATTAAATTTTGACCTGCTCTGCGTACATGCCGGTCGCATACAACTGACTTTATATGCAGCTGCCTCTCTTGAGAAAACTGCATGAATTGCCCAAAATGGCAGAGAGCATCTTAATTTTAACTCGAGAGACTCGAGGCTGAAATTATGCCGGTTGTTTTTATCATTTTTTCTAACTGTGTTTACTAAGCAAAGAAAGACTTTTCGTTAAATCAGGCGGCGTTTGGGACATTCAGGAGAAAATTAAAAGTAGCATGGTTTTCAAGCAAGGCGACGGTAGCCTAATTGAATTTACAATCCATTTTTTAATTAGTTTCAGATTTATCTTAGTTTCGCATTTCCCTTGAGACACTTCGCAGTTGCAAAAAAAAACAAATCTTGAAAGATTATTTGAAATTCTAGTCTTAATTAGCTACAAATCAACTTCATTTATCCCAAGTATGCAAAATCTGCGTCCCTTTTGTATTGTCTTTGCAAAAAATATATATGACCTCATTCAGAACTAATTTGTGAATGCGCCGTCTTATTAGCAAAAGAAGATGCTAAAATTAGACGGAGTCTCATTTCTCGAATGAATAGGAAAATAAAATCAAAGTGGAGGATAAAAAGGAAGTTGAAGTCTTGATTTCAGATTAAGAAACGAAGGGTGCTGCTTCATTTAATTACAATCAATTCAAATAAACTTTCACGACATTTTATTTTCTAGCTAATCAGTCCTATTCAATTCTTCCAATACGACGAGAAATATAAATTATACTATTATAATCATCGGAAGCACTCAATTACCGTAAAAAAAAGAGATTACAATTGAAGTATAAATAGATTACAATTGACGTAGATAAAGAGAAATATTTTCTCTACTTGGACAAAATTCTTACCATATTGGGCTGTGACAGTCTAGAAGCGCGTGAAAAGTTGTCATCAATTAAATGATTTGATCTTTTCAAGGTTGATTTGACGAAGTCAATGGCTGAAACAGAAAAATTAACTCTTTTAGTCAGGTCTATAACAAGACGGAAAAAAATGTCATACAGTCTATTGACCTTTTACAATCAAATGCACTCTATTCAAATGACTTTTTTCCCAACTAAAATTTTCCAGAAGTCAAAATTTTCCAAAAAGTGCTTAAAAACGTTTTTTTTTGCCTGTTTTTTTCAAATTTTTGCTGCGACGCAGAAAATTTGGTCAAAATATGGTCATTATATTGATCTAAGAAAGCTGAAAAAATCAATTTTGGTCTATCTAAAATTAAGAAAAAAAGGTCGACAAAAAATCTTGAAAATCCCCCCTCGAGAAAATCCTTGATCCTCCCCTGCAATAAATATTGAAATTCAAATCTATTTGTTTTCTTAAGTTAATTATAGTTTATTTTACCCAATACTTTGATTTCAAGATAATATTGGTTGGCATTGATTTCAAAACATAAGCTTGGTTGAATAGAATTAAAGATGCAAAATTTAAAAAAAATGGAAGCATAGAAAATATGGAAGATAAACAAGACTGCTCGTATATCAAGGCAAAGCCTTGAACATTCCGACTGTCCCTTAATTCATATTGAATAGTTTTTGGGAAAAGAAAATATTGAAAACCTATAAATCTTGGGCAATATCAAAGTCTGAAATTTTTGAGTCGCACGACCGATTAGCTAGCATCAATTCAATTTGGAACGAGTTTGTTATGCAGAATAATTGGTCACGCATAAATGTTTCGCGTTACGCTCTCAGCATTATGAACAAACTTTTCAAAGCGCGCATAATTTAGTCCAGAACATGGCCAATTTGGCAATTTTCAAACCCTCAAAACATTTTAAAAAAACCGGAGGTAAAATATCTTTTTAAATTTGAACTCAGCGAGTCGATATCTTCAATGGGGTATATGAAACTCTGTTCAAAACTATTATTTCGATAGGCAAAACTGGCTGAATCAAAAAACTCACCGGTCAAAGGTCGGAAAATAAAAGAAAAACTGACCCTAAATCAAAAAATTTAAAAATCAAATGAAAATATTCTTGTCACCGGGTTCATCCCAGAATTTAAAACCACTAGTTCATTTTTTCTGCACCAAGAGGAATGAGGATGGTTATGTAGTGAGCGGTATTCAATGGCAATAATTTTCAAGAAAGCCTACGCTCACTTTAAGAGCTAAGGAGCACGATCAAACGATGCTTCTACAAAAGAAGGCGATGCCACTTGCGAGTTCAAGAAAAAGTGCACTAAAAAACCCAGTGATGACATTGATTGTTATGAACTTTTTTAGATGAAGAGTATTATTGTAAAATATAAAAGTGAAGTTCCACTCACAATCTTCAGGAATTATTTCCATCTTCATGAAGTCCTTGCATTTGGCCATTTCCTCTTTCAGCATCTGTCTCTCGTTGTTCAGAAATGCAATATGTCCGGGCGTAACGATGGGTTGGGGGTTAGTCACTTCGTTCACACCTGCACTTGATTGAGAGGTGAGGTGATTAGTCTGGCCTGGAATCTTTGAAGACAGCTGATGGGTGTTTGTAGGGCTAGTAGGCTTGTAGTTACTGTTAAGGCTATCGTCATTTCTGTTGGTGCTGCTGCCGATATTTTTGTTGCTGTTGCTGTTGCTGTTGTTGTTGTTGTTGTTGTTGTTGTTGTTGTTGTTGTTGTTGTTGTTGTTGTTGTTGTTGTTGTTGATGCTGTTTCTGTTTGTGTTATCGGTGGGTTTTTGCTGTTGAATTGGACGGTTATTATACTGTTTTTGATTGGTCTGTTGTGAAAGAAGGCTCGGGGGGGCTGAGCTGAAAATAATGAATTAATCCGATTGAAATTAATTAGCGTGCAAAGGAGAAGAGAGCATAAAAAGCCTATGATTGGAATGAAGAGAAAATCAAATTGTCTACAGAAATTTGAATCTTTCACAATTAATAGAAATTGATAAAGAAGTTAAAATGTTTAAAAAATCACACCTTGCGAAAAAAGCTGTGAAAATGCACACTGAATTTAGCGTGTTGGTAGGCTTCCGGAAAAAACAAAATAAGAGTTTTCTTAAATCCTCTTTTTCAGATTTAAAATTTTAGCTAGTTTAAAAAAGGAGCAGTTTTTGGATTTTCTCAAGGGGGAGTTAGGCTTGTATGAAGGCTGTTTGGATCATTTGAAGCCCTTTTCTGCTGATTTTGACCAAAAAACAGAACGTCCCTCCCCCCTTTAAATCCGCTACAGATTAAAACACTCATATCTTTTTCTCCCCGCGGCAAAAGCTTGAGATTTTTTGAAAAAGTTGCAGAACATGTTTCAAAATTATTTTTAAGTTCGAAAAGTTTTCTATAAGCCGTGATAGTTATAACACAACAATTTACGACAAAAATACTAGTTAAGAATATCATCATATGCAAAGCACATGCTCACAACACAATCAATTTTATTGGGCACACAAAACCTACATTGATACTATTTGTTACTTCCAATTTGAACTGAAATTGAGGCAAAACAGGAGGGCGCGCAAAAAGAACGCAAAATTTTGGTCAAAAAGTTTCAAAAACGCGCAAAAACGGCATTTTGGCCCGATTTTTTCCAAAATATGACTGCGACGCAGTCAAATTTTGAAGGCAGTTTTGAAGGCAGTTTTGAAGGCAATTTTAGGGTGTAATCTCCATAGTAGTTTAGAAAAGCTCGGAAAGTTCCCTAAAAAACAACGTCGATATAATTTTCAAAAAAAAAAAGAAAATTCGCCCCAGCAAATGACTATTCTTGTTTGGTATGTTCAAGCAGTTTAGTATTATAAATTGCCTAATTGACTAATTTTCTCGTGAAGCTAGTTGAAAATTTTAAAAAAAAATTAAAGTTAGTAGAGAAATGTGAACAGTTTTTTAAGTCAAAAGAATAAACAAGTCCCGGGTTGACCTCCATAGACCGAAAATGCTAATCATACAATTTCATACACTTAGTCTATGGAAAAATGCTAGTCATACAAATTTCATACATTTTTGCAAAATGAGTTTAATCGAATTTCAAAGGTATTTTATAGTTGTTTTGGTATCGAAATTGGTATCTCTTCATAAAAAAAGGAAAAAAATGGTATGAAAAAAAATGCTAGCCATACAATTTCCATATATGGAAATTGTATGATTAGAAATTTTTAAAAAAAAATTTTTTGTGAAAAAAAAGCTTTGAAAAATCAATTCAACTGCTGGCAAAACATTTCAGCGCTTTTTGGGGTGCTACGACTGAAAACTTTTTTTATTTTTGTTTTCTGAAAAAAAAACTTTAGTCATACAATTTCCATATATGGAAATTGTATGACTAGTATTTTTGAAATTGCCTCCAAAAATTTTTTTTTTCAACCGCAAACTGATTTTCGTATTCAAACAAACATTTTTTGAAAAAAAATTTTGCACGCAAAATTTAATTTTTTGTGTGTATAACGTAGTCCTGGTTATACTATTATTGGATTTTTTTCATTTTCTCTTCATAACTTTTTTCAAAAACGCTGAAAACTCCTCTTTCTTTTGTATGACATGTTTTTGTATGCCTTGATCAATGTCTGGTAATTTAAAAATTCAAATTTTAGAAATAATCATCTTTGAAAATTATTGCCAAAATTTAAAAGTTCATTACTTTCGTTATATTATTTATCTGAGAGAGAAGAAACACATATCAGGCTGTTTCCAATGCATTTTTAATGCAAGACGGCCAAACCGTTGGTTAGTACGTTTGAGTAATCTAGGTTTATCTCATTTGTGTTCGGTTACGAACGCAACCAAAAAATTTTGAGAAATTAAAATGTAAAAAATCAATATTTTTGGTTTATGGAAAAATGCTAGTCATACAATTTCCATATATGAAAAAATACTAATCATAGACCTTTCATGCAATTTTCTGTAAGTATGGAACTGTATGGAAAGTGTATGACTAGCATTTTTCCATATATGGAAATTGTATGACTAGTATTTTTGGTCATCCCCGGGTGGTAGAATGCAGTGCGAATTTAAACTGGAAAAATAAACTTAACGCAAAAAACCCGAATCACAGTGCCGAGGAGGTGAACAAACTTCGAGATGCAATGTAAAATGTTGCTTATCTGGTATGAAACACATGTGAAAAAAAAACACATAATTTGAAAAAAAGGCTCTTTTCCAGTTTCCCCCCCCCTTTCAAATTCAAATTTGAAAAGTCTTTTTAACATTGTCATAATGCAATGAAATTTGGCATGGTGAACAAATTGACAAATCTGAACAGATTTGTTCTTCATACTTTACAGCGTAACATCACGCGTTTAGCCGTAATAACACGTAAAACAAGAATAAAACTCGGTATTTGGAAAGGGGGGGAACTGGAAAAGAGCCGAAAAAAAATTTCATGCGTATTTGCGATTTTTTATCCGTTTCGGTCGATTGTTCAAGGAAAAGTTTTGCGCTAGTGTTTCAAATATTGCACTAATTTTTCAAAATTGGCGCAAAATTGGCACGAGTTTTATGACTGACTAAAAAGTCAAAAATGATCTTTTTTTGGTTCGAATTTTTCACCAAATGCACCAAATGAAACCCATAATTCCAACTTACAGAAATAGATTTAATGTGTGAGGATTGGATAATAATCATTTTAGTTGTTGTTACAATTCGTAAAAGTTTGACATAAGCCCTGGAAAATGTTGTCAATCAGTGACTAATGGTGTCTGCCTGTCAATCAGTGACTAATTCTGTCTGCCTTACTCTGACCTCTAAATCAGTGTTGGGATTATACCGAAAGATTATACTCTATCGTTTTATCATTTTTTGTTTACTGACATTCTAAGCAAGTTTTATATAAAAGAATTTTATGTCTAAATTTACCCATACGTGAGAAAAACTTGTTGTAAAAGTCAAGTTTTGTTCGTTTTGACCGTTGTTGTCAAATCAGACTGGAATTTTCTGAAGTAAAAAAAATTAAAGGTTTTCACTTTTCGAATTGTCAAAACACTCAATGATGTTCGTACTGCAAATAATTTAGTGTTATAAGTGAATTAGTGCCAAGCTGTGCAATAAGTGGTTCGGGCGGGTCTAGGATTTTTTGGAGGGGTGGGGGCGGTTTTTCAATTTTTTAAAACAGTTTTTCAGGCCGACCAAATTAATTTTCAGACCTCTTTTAAAACACCATTGTTTTCTATTTTTATTTTTGTTTTCTGAAAAAAAAACTTTAGTCATACAATTTCCATATATGGAAATTGTATGACTAGTATTTTTGAAATTGCCTCCAAAAATTTTTTTTTCAACCGCAAACTGATTTTCGTATTCAAACAAACATTTTTTGAAAAAAAATTTTGCACGCAAAATTTAATTTTTTGTGTGTATAACGTAGTCCTGGTTATACTATTATTGGATTTTTTTCATTTTCTCTTCATAACTTTTTTCAAAAACGCTGAAAACTCCTCTTTCTTTTGTATGACATGTTTTTGTATGCCTTGATCAATGTCTGGTAATTTAAAAATTCAAATTTTAGAAATAATCATCTTTGAAAATTATTGCCAAAATTTAAAAGTTCATTACTTTCGTTATATTATTTATCTGAGAGAGAAGAAACACATATCAGGCTGTTTCCAATGCATTTTTAATGCAAGACGGCCAAACCGTTGGTTAGTACGTTTGAGTAATCTAGGTTTATCTCATTTGTGTTCGGTTACGAACGCAACCAAAAAATTTTGAGAAATTAAAATGTAAAAAATCAATATTTTTGGTTTATGGAAAAATGCTAGTCATACAATTTCCATATATGAAAAAATACTAATCATAGACCTTTCATGCAATTTTCTGTAAGTATGGAACTGTATGGAAAGTGTATGACTAGCATTTTTCCATATATGGAAATTGTATGACTAGTATTTTTGGTCATCCCCGGGTGGTAGAATGCAGTGCGAATTTAAACTGGAAAAATAAACTTAACGCAAAAAACCCGAATCACAGTGCCGAGGAGGTGAACAAACTTCGAGATGCAATGTAAAATGTTGCTTATCTGGTATGAAACACATGTGAAAAAAAAACACATAATTTGAAAAAAAGGCTCTTTTCCAGTTTCCCCCCCCCCCTTTCAAATTCAATTTTGAAAAGTCTTTTTAACATTGTCATAATGCAATGAAATTTGGCATGGTGAACAAATTGACAATTCTGAACAGATTTGTTCTTCATACTTTACAGCGTAACATCACGCGTTTAGCCGTAATAACACGTAAAACAAGAATAAAACTCGGTATTTTGAAAGGGGGGAACTGGAAAAGAGCCGAAAAAAAATTTCATGCGTATTTGCGATTTTTTATCCGTTTCGGTCGATTGTTCAAGGAAAAGTTTTGCGCTAGTGTTTCAAATATTGCACTAATTTTTCAAAATTGGCGCAAAATTGGCACGAGTTTTATGACTGACTAAAAAGTCAAAAATGATCTTTTTTTGGTTCGAATTTTTCACCAAATGCACCAAATGAAACCCATAATTCCAACTTACAGAAATAGATTTAATGTGTGAGGATTGGATAATAATCATTTTAGTTGTTGTTACAATTCGTAAAAGTTTGACATAAGCCCTGGAAAATGTTGTCAATCAGTGACTAATGGTGCCTGCCTGTCAATCAGTGACTAATTCTGTCTGCCTTACTCTGACCTCTAAATCAGTGTTGGGATTATACCGAAAGAAAAACAGTTGAATACGGATTTCAAACTCTATCGTTTTATCATTTTTTGTTAACTGACATTCTAAGCAAGTTTTATATAAAAGAATTTTATGTCTAAATTTACCCATACGTGAGAAAAACTTGTTGTAAAAGTCAAGTTTTGTTCGTTTTGACCGTTGTTGTCAAATCAGACTGGAATTTTCTGAAGTAAAAAAAATTAAAGGTTTTCACTTTTCGAATTGTCAAAACACTCAATGATGTTCGTACTGCAAATAATTTAGTGTTATAAGTGACACGTGCCAAGCTGTGCAATAAGTGGTTCGGGCGGATCTAGGATTTTTTGGAGGGGTGGGGGCGGTTTTTCAATTTTTTAAAACAGTTTTTCAGGCCGACCAAATTAATTTTCAGACCTCTTTTAAAACACCATTGAGCACTCTTTTGGCTAGAGTTTGTGCGCGGCAAGCAAAAAATTTGCAAAAAAAAACAGGCCAAAATTGGGTACCATATTTGGGTACTTTTCAGAAAGTTGTGACAAAAGCATTTGCTGTTTTTCGGCCCGCGGCTTACCTCAAAAATTAGTAACTTAATATTTTGGCAATTTTAGATAACTTTGGGGTTGGCTGGCAGAAAATGGATGGCGCAAAAAAGTACCAACGATTGAACGCTTTGGATAATGAAGGTATCGAATCCCTAAAGCCCCCTCCTTAAATCCGCCCCTGATAAGTGGTAAGAAACATGAAAAGAGCATCACTTACACGTCTTACCTCGCACCCATCTGTCCCCCCTGGTTGTTCACACCTCCCCCTCCCATCACGTGACCAGTATTGCTGTTGTTCATACTGCTGTTGTTTTGGTTCAGCATTTGGTTATTTTGCATGCTTACAGCTCCCCCCATCATATTGTTTCCTCCAGGAACAGAAGCCATCACTCCCCCTACATTCCCACTTTGGTTGTTTATGTTGTTGTTGTTCATGTTGTTGTTGTTGTTATTGTTATTGTTGTTAAAGGTGTTGCTCGAGTTATTATGATTAACCGCCGGGTAGTAATTTTGAGGCGTGGCGCTTCGTTGTTGCTGGTTCATAAACTGATTATTCCCAGTGTTGCTGCTATTACCAGCTTGTAAATGCTGCTGGTAGCTCTGATTCTGATTGTTGTTGTAACCGGAACTATTGTTGCTGCTGTTTATGTTATTGTTTACATGCATGTTGGTGTAATTGGTTCCGTTATTTTGCCTGTTATACGGTTCACTGGAGTTCGCGTTATAGCCATAACTTTGGGCTGGCATGTTGCCGGTATCTTGTGAATAATTTCCTCCTCCATAACTTCCTTGCTGATATTGATTCGAATACTGACTTTGACTATTTTGGTGATAGTTATTATGAGTTCCAGCATTAAATTGAGGGTTACCATTGTGGTAGTTTCCGGAATTCTGATAATGGTAGTCATTTTCAGCCAAATAACCACTGCGATTGTCTCGCGAAGTGGCTTGGTTGGAATGTTTAAACATAGTTGTGGAGTCTCGGTGGTTACTGGAGTTGTTGCGAGCATTTCTTTCGTTATCGTCACGAGTTGCACGCTGACTTTGCGACGAGTATCCGGACTCGTTTGAATAATTATTGTTTCCGGGCACTTCAGGTAGTCGTCTACTCTTGTCCAGTTCAAGTGTTCGTTCATAGAGCCGGTCACGATCCCGGTACGACGACCTGTCACGTGATCCTACACGTTGCGAGTCGTAACTTTGACCTGGCAAATAAGTGCCAGACTTTCGGTTTCTTCTATCTGGACTGGAGAGTCGGTCGATTGAGGAGCTGCTAGACTCGCACGCATCTCGCACGCCAAATCTTCTGTCGTGAGGCCTTGACTCGTAAAATGATCCCCGACGTGATTCGCGATTTCGGTCGCGAGTCGGCTTCTTACGAAGAAGTTCTTCGTCAGGGAATGTTCCACGATCTTTGTTCGATCCGAGACGTCTTCGAGGTGTCGGATAATTTTCAGAAACTTCGTCGTGAGCTACCCGGGTTTTGGACGAGCTTCGGTTGCGAGCTCTCTGAATGCTGCTGAAGCCATCGCCGATGTAGCTGTCGCCATAATTTGTTGCTGCAATTCCGACTGGTGAATAATCTCGAGCACTTTTCCCTATTCGGTCAAGCCTTCTGCTCATTTTAGCATGTTCGGGGGACGCACTTCTTAATCTTTGTGCAGCTGCCGCTGAATCTTCAAGTGTTCTTGACTTTGATCTTTCCCGAAGTGTATTGTCGCGAGACGACATTCTTCGATCTTTTTCGTTCGATTTACGATCCCTGGATCTTCCTCGTAACTTACTTCTATCAAGGGATAAGTTCTCCATTTCGGCTGTGAAAGCGCCAAGCTTCTGGTTGAGTTCTGCGGCATACGCGGCAGCCTTAGCGTACTCCGTATTAGCCAAGTAATCTTGAGAAGGAGCGCGGCTTCTAGAAGGTCGCAAAAGGTCCCTTTCTAGGTCCAAGCGACGTTGCATGTCCACTTCCGATAGTGACGAGGTCTTTCGTGACCGCAGGGATCCAGGTGAGTCCAAAGCGCCTCGAACCAGGCTCGATTCAAGTTGATCGACATAAGCCGATGGCAGTGATCGGGCCGATCCGAACCCGTGACCAAGTTTGTTTGCGTTTTCAGATGGGTATCGGGAGGTATATGGGTAGTCCGAAGCTGAGGTAGCGTAACCTCGGGTGAAACGACCTTCGGAGTCGGCGCTGTCAGAATCTCCGGAGAACGTTGCACTTACCATTTTCGCCAGCTTTCGCAAACTGTCTTCGTCCTGTGAGCTAATAAAACGGTCATTTTCTTTCATATAGTCCGACCAGCTTTCCGACGGGTTTGAGCGAAGTTTGAGACTCGTTCGGAACAGACGTCGGTTTTCCTCGAGTCGACGACATTCCGCACAATCTGGAAAAAGTTCTGAAAGTTTTGTAAGTGACGCTTGAACACTCGAATGTGTAGGTGTTGAATTTTGATTGACGTTGAATGAAACTGATTTCTGCGGCACCGATTGATCTAGTCCGCTTTTTATCAACTGGGGATCCAGAGAGCGGAACCCGGAATCGAGAGACGATCTTTTTGAGAACTCCGCAGGTACTTGGTAGCCTGTAGCGTGTTGTGCATGCAACCGATGCGCCAAATCTACTGGAAATTGAGGAAATCGTGAGGTGGAATTGATTTGACTATTTTGAAGAGACAAACTAGAGGTAGCCTGTAATGTGGGAGCTGCTGGAACAGTTCCTGCCAGACTTGGAGAGGGGACAAGGGGTTCAGATTGATCCAGACTTCGAGACCTCTGCTGATTATACAGTTGTTCCACCGACAGACGATCTAAGCCTCTACTTCGCTCAATTGCTGACAATATGTTCTGCTGCTGCATTTGAAGCTCATTGTTTTTCTGCTCATTTATCAAGTTCAGACCACCGTCCATAGAAAGATACATCGGATTCTGACGTTGGAGGGTTCCCAGAGCATCTGAGGGGTTCAAAATTGAGCCCTGAACTGGGTTCTGAAAAGGCTGGAACGTTTGGTTTAACTGGGAGTCCGAAAAAACTGACTGATAACTTCCGCTCAGCCCATTTCCCCCCAACTGAGGAACGTTTGCAATGTTTGAATTTGTGTTCAAGCCTAAATAGGGGGTGGGGTTTAACTTTGACGTTTGTACTTGTTGTTGTTGACTTCTTCTGAACCTCTGTTCTGCTTCTAGTTGAGCTGGCGTGGTTCCAACCTGAATGGTTCCAGGATAGCCTCCGATTTGCTGTTGGGTTCCATAGGTGCCTGGGTTGGCCATGTTTCCAAGTTGAGTTGTGAATTGGGTACCTTGAGGAGTAAGGATATTGTGAGTCGGTTTGCGGGCAAATTGGTTCAAAGCACTTGAGTTTCCCTGCTGTAAACTTTGTTGACCCGGAGGCATTCCGACAAAAATTGAACCCGTCGAGTCCAAATGGCCTCTGTTAGCCTGCGGAATCGGCTGGGTAAGCTGTATTTGGGGGTTCAAGTTACCCGTGTGCGTTAGGTTTCCTTGAGGTACCATATTTGGATGGTAATAGATAGCTGGATTCGCCTGCGTTACAGGCGCGTGACTCGGTTGTCCAAACGTTTGTGCACTTTGCATTTCTCGAAGTTGCTGATTGGTCAATCCCATTGACATTGAGGGTGTGACTTTTCCCGGATGCTCGCCGGAACCACCCGGAGTGCCAGATAAGTTACCGGTTGTTCGTGACCACACACTGCGTTGGATGCCGGAACTTGCAGGAGCCGAGCCAAAGAGGTTAGCCGAGAACGGGTTTCGGAAAGTTGACGGTGCTTCGGCGTTGAGAAAAGACGCAACTTTTTCGGCTGCAAGTTGGATGTAGTTTGGAGAATCTGAGACTGGCAGTCGGATTTGCTGAGGCAGCGAAAAATTGGCCGAAGTTTGAACGCCTGAGAGAGTATTAGTGTTGAAATTTGTGTTATAACGGTAAAAGTTTGCGGCGGGGCTTTGTTGCGAGGGCGAATTTGAACTTAAAACAGAAGCATTTCGGTTAGAAACTTGTGGGTTCGAAGTTCGGGTGAATACATTTTTTGCAGGCAGATTTGTAAACTTTTCAAATGTCGGCTGGAAAGCATTAAACGTGCCAAAAGTGTTCGCAAGCCTTGCCGAAAAATGAGATGGTTGCGGTTGTTGTTGTTGTTGTTGTTGATTTCGTAACTGGTTTGTTTGTTGCTGATGAATTAAATTTGGGTTTGCAGGGTTGTTTGTATCAGGTGAAAAAAGACCCGAGAATGAATTGGCCGAGAGAGGCACGTAAGACATAGTTTTCCGACAGCCGAAGCCGACAGACGAGTAATCGCAGTTTGGACCGACTAAAAATAAAATCGATTCATGCTTCAATCATCAATACTCAGTTTTCAATACTTTTGGGTTCTTATGAGTTTTCGAATTGTTTTGATGATTTGAAAAATCAATTTCGACTTTTAATTGGATTTGAGTTTATAAAAACAAATCGGTAAATTTCTGGCCATTTGTTCTTTCGGTAGTTTTTTGAAGTGCTCGAAATCAAATATCAGAAATAAATCAGTTAATTTCCAAATGGTTTAAAGGATTTTGTTGTTTCGCGCGACAGCCTTTAAAGGCATTTCAAAGAGTTTGTCTTCAAAAAGAGATGAGGATCTGCTTCCCTTAAGGGTTTTCGACCCCCAATCATGATTGAATTGGTCGGAAGATAAAGGGCCGGTAAAAAAGTGAAATGTTTCTGCACCTACCAAATAATTGATCAAGGAGAGAGAAGCATATACAAGGACCCACCTGCACGGAGCCAGTTTATATAATATAGAAAAAAGTCGGAACAATAAATTCGAAAATGAGATTTTATTATTATTTCTATTCCGCCTTATGTTGCTTATTTTCCACGGGAAAAGAGTGGAAAGAAAAAAATATGCTCCTCGTATAATCAGTCGACTACTATACAGAGCGCGGAGTAAAAGGTATTCATTTTGCTAGATAATGCTATGCATTTCATGTTAAAACGGAAGAGAGAAAATTTTAGGGAAAATAAATACCAACCACCAATACCAACTAAGGAAAGAACGCACCACCAGAACAAAAAAAAATCAGTTTTTTAAAAAAATTTTTTTAGAGTATATTGAAAAAAGATGCTTCTGCTTTTTGTGCGTGCGGCGTGAACAAGATAAAAAAGGTTGAAGGCTTATAGGTAATAACAATTTAGAGCAAAGCGTCTTTCAGTCTATTCAAAGGGTCAACACACCGAAAAATTTTTACTTAAGTTTCATAAATTACCAAAAAATTAATTGGCAAATGCATTTTCATGTTGTCAAATGCCACATTTTTTGACGAATTTACTAGAAAAGCAATAATTTTTAAAATTATAATTAATCTTTATTTATTTCATGAACTAACACGACAGAAGCCAGCTTCGATGGTTGTTTATGTAATGACAACTCTTAAATGACCTTAAGTTCAGCATGCGTGTCAAAGGCGAGTGTTCGGTCGAGTGAACGGCTGAACGGCAGTTGAAAAAGGAGTGTTTGTACTATGGCAGCATTATCCCCTACTTTTATTCTTATCCAGCCCTTTTAGGCGTGGATGTTTTCTATTGAAGGGTTCCGCTTGTGCCAATATGCGTCCTACTAGCGGTACGAAGACGGGGCAACAATTGCATACAGCAGCTTTAATACATCGTTTTGTGTGGGTTTAAATGCCGGGTGGAATTAAGGTACTGAAAAACACACATCGCTTAAAACAAATGTACGCCTGCTCCTCAAAACATGCGCGGCCGTCAAGAAACAAGACAAATAAAGCCAATTTATTTGATTTTATTCCTATTTTGTGTGACTACGAATATATCAACAAAATACAGATCTCTCATCAGAAAGAAGACTTACCATAAAAGTCTATGAATTACGAATTGAGCAGGCATTACTTTAGTGCTCTTCAAATAGCATGAGAAAAAAATTTCTTCAAAAGATTTTTTAACCGTTTTTGATTTTTAATTAGTGAATATTTGTAGATATAAAAAAGGATTGCCGGTTACTATACAAGTACCACACAATAATCCGACCATAGTCTTACAGAATACAGAAAATAATAAAATTTCAAATAAGTCTCATATTTTCTGCGTGGTTTGATAGAAGGATCTAAGAGTTTAGACATATTCGACTGTCATACTAAAATAGGCAAACTGAAAAACAGTTTGTGAAGCAAAAAGACTAAAACAACAAAAAAAAAACTCGAAATTTTTTTACAGTAATTTTTTGAATTTTTGAGCTTTTTGATTCTCAAAATTGCGTTAAAAACTTAAAAACACAATTTTCAAAATTGAGAAATATTGACTGAAAATGCATCAATTTAATATATCAGTCGACGCATTCCAATGATTATTTAAGGCACCTTATTTTGACTGGTAAACAAGAAAAAAGAAGAAAAAAAAATAAAAGACCCGAATACTAAGTTTCTTCCCATTTTCAATGGTCTGAACGGAAAGCATATTGTGGAATCATCCAACTTGATCTTTTTTGATTTCAATGTTTCTTAATTAAGAATCTGCTGAGACAAAAGTCCTTGATTTGCATATAATCTGGAAACTAACAAAATACAGCAATTTCAAAAGTAGTTTTCTGAAAATTTGCAACTTTATTCTGAGTTGCCTAGTTTGAATATATAATTTACTGAAAACTTTGTTCTAAATTTAGCAAAACTTTCCACTCATTTTTTTGACAAATTGAGAAAACGCCTCAAAATTCAAAAAATTGCAAACATTTCTCGGAAATTGTCAGACTGCCGAGGAAAATTTTTGAACCAACCAATCACAAGAGTAGTGTTTTTTTTAGTGGGTGATCTTATATCGGCGCTTGTTTCACTGTTCCAAAACTATTTAGGTCACTCGTTGTTTGCTTAAACAAACAATAAAAATGGAGAACAGTTTTATTTTTAACTTTTGTTGACTTTCTCAGTATATTGTAATATTATAAAGTTTATAAGTTTTTTCGTAATACGACAGCTCGCAACAAAAGACCTCTCGCAATAGAAGACAACTCGCATGAAACAAAAGTTCACACTCACCACCGCAGTCGCAACAACGTGGTGTGTTGCCAGCAGAGGGTAGGACTTCAAGCAAATTTAGGAGCCGGTGGCCTTAAATTCTTATCTTGTAAAATATTTTTCAAACTTTGCGATTTGTTGCTCATTTTCAATTCAGCTATTTGTTTTTTGTTAGAATATGTGTTTTGTTGCGACTTTTTTTTTTCATTTTATTTTTTTAATATTTTTGGCGGACATCCTTCATATAATCTTTCGAGGTTTTTCACTTTAATCTAATTCATTTCGATATAGCATAATTCGATTAAAGCATAATTCTGATTACAGAGTGACAATGTACGATTTTTCTATTTTTTTTGTTTTCGATCGAATATAGCGAGTTTTTTGTTCTTCGCACAAATTTGTGAGATTTTGGCAAGCAATTTGTAACAAAAACTTTTCATCGTAAAAAGATATTGATGAACTGAAATGAAAAGCTTAGATATTTTGCGATATAATTTTTGATGTCAGTGATCAAAAATTGACATTTTGGCCAATTTGGGATTATCAATGCACGCTACTTGTCAGTTCATTTCAACGCATAGCCCGAGCGGCTGTTTGATTTGGCTCAGAAATAATTTCAATAATGATTAAAACAAGACGTACAAAATGATTACAAAATCGCGTTGTTAGATGAGCAACATATGAAGTTTTAGTTGACAATAATAGAGGCTTTGAGAAAAAAAATTTCGACAAAAAAAAGTTTTTTTGACTTCTGTCATTTCTGTACAAAAATTAACATCAAATACCCGAAAATATGACATAGTTTTAAAGGCTTGGATTTGATTTTCTAGTTCGGAGGCGCTGAAGGCACTAGTACTAAGAAAACGCCTAAAATCACAATGAACTGACCAATGCTTTTAAAAACCTTAAATTCAAATAAGTCGGTAATTTCCTTATCTAATTTTCAATTTAAACCAAACCGTACTGCATTTTTTAATATATACAGACCAGATCCATTTCATTCTTAAACTTTGTAACAGAGTGGTAAAATGCAAGTGAAATCAGTCCTGAACGCCTAGGTAGAACTTTCTTTTTGAAAACCCACCACTCACAAAATCTTAGATCCGCTTCTGTTTTGTCCAATCAACCTCAAACATTACTTTCCTTGAACATTACTTACC